TGCTCAGGGGATATCTGCCTGCCGGCCCTAAGCTGGCAGACAGACATCCCTCTCACAGTCCGGGGCTCTTGCAGTCCAGAATCCCTCACTCCTTACCACCTGATTGCAGCAGAGGCAGGAGAGGCAAGCCGTTGCGCTTGCCAGCCATGAGACTGGCTTCTGGCTGAACAGCGCTCCCTATGGGAGCACACTGACTACCAGGGGGCAGCTCCTGCGTGAGCGTCTGACCCCTGGTGGTCAGTGCGCATCATAGCGACCAGTCGTTCCACCGTTTGGTTGATTTGCATATTAGGGTGTTACTAGAGGACCAGTGTGCATGAAATCATGTGCAAGTAGCTCGCTTCCGCTGGCCACCCCACCCATCGCCACTCGTAGCTTGTGCCCCGCACTCCACCACTCATAGCTCTCTTCAACTAGTAGCTTGCGCCTCGCCCTCTGCTGGTCATAACTCTCCGCCACTAGTAGCTCGCGTCCCTCCCCACCTGCTGCGAGAGCCATTGCTCGTTTGGTCGTGATGGCGTTACAGCGTGACAGCCATGGACCTTTTATATAAGAGATTATCCTATATAATAAAAGGGTAATATGCAAATTGACGCTAACGGTGGAATGACTGGTTGCTATGACATGCACTGACCACCAGGGGGCAGATGCTCAACGCAGGAGCTGCCCCCTGGTGGTCAGTGCGCTTCCACAGGGGAAGCACTGCTCGCCAGAGCCAAAGTCAGCTCATGGCTGGCCAGCACAGTGGCGGTGGCAGGAGTGGGCCTAAGCTGTTAGTTAGAGATTCCCCAAGAGCTCCTGGGCTCCCAGGGAGCGGGCCTAAGCCAGCAGGTGGACATCCCCCGATGGGATCCCAGACTGCGAGAGGGTGCAGGCGGATTTTCGTGCACTGGGCCTCTAGTATAAGATAAAAGCCTAAGCAACTGGCAGACTGGCCGGTAGCTATGATGTGCACTGACCACCAGGGGGAAGACACTCAACACAGGAGCAGAAACCACGGACATGGAAACATGGAACACACTGATGAATCTCAGAGGGAAGGGGGGAAGGCAGCAAGAGATTAACCAAAGATCTTATTTGCATACTAGAGGCCTGTTGCATAGATTTATGCACTAGTGGGGTCACTCAGCCTCGCCTGCAGGGATTGGGCCGAAATCAGCTCTCTGACATCCCCCGAGGGGCCCTGGATGGCGAGAAGGCGGTTCTCAGGTGATGCACCCCAGAATCGGGCTCTCTCCTCTCTTCTCCCAATATTATGTCACTTTCTCTCTGTATCTGTCACACTTCTTTCACCTCACTTTACCCTAAGTTTGGCAGTAACTGACGACTTGTGGGCATTTAACTGCAAAATGCAATTATTTAGCAAACAGGACTTACTTAGCCTGGAACCTAGTCAGCCTAGGGCAGGACCCTGCTCAATGTCAGGCTCCCATCCAGGCCTTCCACCCAGGCAGAGTCCTGTGGCGATGAGAACCTCCTTCTTCCCACATGAGCTGCTCCTTTGCCTCCTTCCCTCCCCAGAGGTTGCCCACTGGTGCTACTGTCTGCCCGGAAGGAGGGAAGCCGTGGCCAGTTTCTCAGCTGAGAGTGGTAGTGGAAAAATTCGCTGCTTCCCCTGGAAATCGATATTAAGCGGATGGGCAGGCACAGGCACCAGATGTTGGGGCTGCAGCCAGTAGTTCCTGCATGTCTCATCATTTAGCTAATTGAGTCAAAAGTTTCCGTAAGGGCCAGACACATGACCTCTGCAATGAGCTAGAGGCCCATTGGGGAACCAGACCTGAAGTGGGGAGCCAATTGGCTAGAGACCCAGTGCACATGCACTGGTGGTGGTGGTGGTGGGGGCCCTTCGGCCTGGCCTGTGGGGATTGGGCCAAAACCGGCTCTCCAACATCCTCCAAGGGGTCCTGGATTGCGAGAGGGCAGTTCTCAGGTGATGCACCCCAGAATCGGGCTCCCTCCTCTCTGGTTCTGGGTGCATCACCCGAGAACCTCAGCTACCAAGTCACCACAGCTTGGCAGCTCCTGCATTGAGCATCTGTCAGTGCGCATCATAGCTACCGGTGGTCAGTCAGCTGGTTGCTTAGGCTTCTATATATATAGATTAGAGGCCCGGTGCACAAAAAAGCATCTCTGAGGACTCATAGGAAACCCTGCTGGGGACAGGATGGACTAAAATCTGAAGGGTAAGGGCTAACTCACAAAGGGTACTGTAGCAGAGGCAGTATTTATATATACTGGAGGCCCGGTGCACGATATTCATGCACTGGCCAGGGGGAGTGGGGAGGAGGAGGGGGAGTCTCTCAGCCCAGCCTGCACCCTCTAGCAGTCCGGGACTGCTCAGGGGATATCTGCCTGCCGGCCCTAAGCTGGCAGACAGACATCCCTCTCACAGTCCGGGGCTCTTGCAGTCCAGAATCCCTCACTCCTTATCACCCACCTGTGCTCTCCTGCCATGAGCCCAGATTCTGGCTGAGCAGCAATGCCCCTGTGGGAGCACACTGACCACAATAACATTAGTTTTGAAGCTTTTTATGGCTTATTTCCCAATCCTTTATAAAGAGTTTATATAAGGATACAGAATTTATAGTCACTGTAACTATCATTTTCCATATCTATTAGGTATTAATAGAAATTCATCAGATTGTTTCCTTAAAAGTTATTAAGTAAAATTATCATGTCATATGACAAATGCTTTTTAATTTTGAAACCCTGGCTGGTATAAAGGAAAATTCAGACTCTAGAATTAAGTAGCCAAAAAGCAACTAAGAAGCTAAGAATATTTTAGCCATATATATTTATTTTTTTAAATCATGGTATCCTATTA